TAAATTTCAAAGATTTTATAGATTTTTTTGTGATAAAACTTGATAATTAATTATTTGCAGTGCTGGTAGAGTCTACCAGTTGCACCACTTTACACAAATAAAGTTTGGCAGACCATGTTTCCAATTTTGTCCATGTAATTTGGCTTATTTTGGTTTTCAAGGAAAATTTTTCAATATTTTAGTACTTTTTACATGGTACACTAATAATTTTTTATGAAATATATATTTTTAGATCAAAACTATTAAAATTTGAAATAGTTTAATGATTATAAAATAAAAAATATTCAACAAAGACTTAAAATAATAAATTAATAGTTAGCATTTTTAGATAAATTTTACATTTAAATATTTAATGTTAAATTTTAATAATATTTTTTAATTAATTTGATAAACTCTCAATTTTATTGATTTAATCTTACAATTTTAATTTTATTTCACCAGAATAATTTTATCTAAAATCATAATTTTGACAATCTTAGACAAATCTTGCACCATGACAAGAGAAGGATACTTAAGAGAGTAATAGAAAATGAGAAAATGAAGAGAAAAAAGAGATGAGATTGACTAGAAACTTATTGCTCCAAGTGTTGATAAAGAGAGAGAAGAGGAAGCAGCTTCAATTTAGAAAAAAATAAATTATGTGTAGGTATCAATAGTAACCTTCTAGTCTTCTCCTATGCAAGTTTTAATTAACAAATTATTTTACTACAATGATTTCAAGAAGAAGATATTAGAGGCTTGCCAATCATCTAAACAACTCAATAATCATTTTTTTCGCTAGAAATAAAAGATAATGAGTTTGAATCGAATAGCATACAGATGAAGTGAAATAAAAAAAATGAGAGATGATTACTTATCATTGTGTAATTAAGATAAAAAAAATATTAGAGGCTAAATTTTCATTTCCATGACCATTGTCACAAGTAATAGATTGATGACCTAATTAAACCAAAATGCAAATATCAGAGAACAAATTTGAACATTGGAAGCTTCCCGCATAATTTCCTTATTTCAAAAGAACCAAAAAATTTAATCCAATTTTTGCTCTGAAAAAAAAAATAATAATCCAATTTCATCCCCATTCTTTATTTTCCTACCCAGCAAAAATCTTCTCTCCCAATCCCCACAACGAAGAAAATGTCATCTTCATAAATCCTCATTTTCCTCTTCCCAGACATCCACCGATCGAGATAGCAAGGCTGGGTCTCCAAAGAAAGCCTCACGCCGCCGCTCAGGAAGCGGAAGAGCCTTGAGGAGCAGAACGGAGTTAAGATATTAGAAATATGGCTTCGAGTTCGAAATTGAGGATCAAAACGGAGTAATTTTAGCTTGTCTGGCCAAATGGAAGTTCCAAGTAGCCAAGTTGTTTGAACCATCGTCGTCCTTCTGGTGGTTCTTCTAATAGATTTGAGCTCGGGAAAAAGAGAGTTCTAACAAAGGCGCGTCAATTGCTGGTTGATTTGGTAATACTCTTTGTAACCTTGTTTTCATTCATTTTTGTGTTGTATATGCATGTTGGTTCAGGAGGGAATTTTACATGTAAATTGAATCTTGATATACCACATTGTGCTTTTGTTTTATTCTTCCATGAATTCTGGAAATTGGGAAGTTGAGGTATCAATTAGCTCTATGTCTTAGCAAATGGATGTGGACTGTTCTGACATACTTTTTGATCAGGAGTATGCAGCTTATGGTTCGGTTATAACTTATGTGTTGCATAAAGTCTAGCAAGCAGCTTGCTTACTTAGAATTCCAATGCCCAACTATTCTGTTATCAAGGGTTAATTGTGGACCGTTCTAACATACTTTTTAGCTTTATGCTTTGCTTGGCAGTTTGTTCAAGGAGATAATTTGGTGTGAGGTGCTACTGGTATATATGAAACTGTTTGATTAGCAGTGAGACGTGCTAGATTCATCTAGCTCAATTGCTGCAAAAGTTCGCCTTTTCTATGTACAATAGGTTGAGGAAGCGCTGCTAAGTTAAAACTCAAATGATATCTTAATATAAAAAGAAGTTACTAAAATTTAATTTCTGATAGATGTTTATGTTGTGATCTCATTCCTACTATTTGTTGATCATAATGAATGAACTTTTTTTAAGTTTTGAAACCAGTTTTTATTCTTTTTTATGTTGAGGGAAAAAAATTGAACTTGATAGCCAACTTTGTATTTGATATCTGAACTTACAGAGATACTGTAATTTTTCTAATTAGGTTCACATGGTGAGTCAATATCAGTATTGATGTGATGCTGAGTAATCTGGTTCATGGTTTTTCAAAAGCAAACTGTAAACTGGTTCTTTCACTTGCAGTCTGAGGAACGAGCAGGAAAACTTCAAGCAGAAATGGCTGTGGAGGAACAACGTGGTATGGAGCTTTGTAGATTCCTCAAAGAAGAACTACAAGAACCTAAACCCCCTACTCAGCAGAAGTCAACCACAGGAAGAAAGGTAGGCATTTTGGTTTGCTAAGCCCAAATATCTGGTCCATCTTCATACTTTCCACGTGATCATTTGCACCTAGACGAGTCATTTTAAGTTCGCACTATGTTTTTTGACATCTGAATTCTGAAAATGATTTGTATATGATGACAGGCTAGTATTGAGAGAGGGAAGATATCAAAAGATTCCAACTGAAGGAGTCACGGCCTACTTTGATGAGTGTGTATCACTATCAACATTTGATAATGCCGACTACACTCCAGTGGAAGAATCCCCATTCAACATGGTTAGGTATTACCCTAAAAGTGACAGCACATCTTTGACTCGTGCAATTGCGGGCGTTCTAGTTGCCAATTGCTCCAGCAATCCTCTCAATGACGATCAGGTTGCATTCCCTGGATTCAATGACCCACATCTTAATCTCAATTTTGGGCTTCTATTGTTTGCCTCCTTAGGCCAAAATAAAATAGTTACTATTGAAGACACAAACTTAAGCAATCATGTATTTCTTCTGCATAAAATCATGCTAAAGACTAAAGAATCTTGATTGTCTAGCATCTAAAAAGGTTCATGCTTGCAGGAATACCGATTCATGCATAGCGATAATGCTTTGGACTTGCACTTCACAGCCAGCACTAGTGGCACGGAGCCAAATGACGGAAAATTCACTCCTAACAGCAGCAACAGTGACAGCAAACGTGGTCGGAGGTTACAGTTTTCATTCTTCTCCCTTGAGTCACAAAAACATCCGAGTTTCAACAACTCATTAGGAAGTCATCAAAACTTTCGACGAAAGGCACAAGGAGAGTTGATATTGATTCACAGGTTTCAAGATCAACAGGGTATCACAATGATGATGGGTCTAAGTTCAAGTGGCATAGAGGTAAATAAGCTCGACTTTAAGAGTATTTATCTGTTTCCCACTTTCCGATTTCTCCTTACACACGTCCTCTGTGTTCTCAACTCTCAAGTGGAATTTGCAGAAACAGATACACCAAAGTAACTGACAGTCATTGCTCCAACTTTGAAAGCTATCCCAAATCTTAATTTTTTATATTTTTTGAATAAAAACAAAATTTTGGATTCCTTTAAATTTAAAAAAAAGAAGAAAGAAAACCCCTAAAAAAATAAAAATAAATTAAAAGCCAGCATAGACAACAAAATCTCATTGGCAGCATGGCTGCACTCTTTAGCCAAGTGTTAGGCATTTAATTAACTCAGGGTTAACCCAACCTCCATCCAAGGTTGAATCATTATGCCTTGTCTGGTGCCAAAATATATGAATTCTATTTGGTTTTTTAAACCCGCACTTTCCTTCCTTCCCTTCACTTCACTCTCTCCTCTCTATCTCTCTCCCTGTTTTGGTAAACCACTTCTGGTTGCCAGAGCACAAAGTCATCCGCACAATCTGCCTCCTGGGAGAAATAAAAAACTCGGAGAAAACCCACTATTACCCATCTCCCAAATTCACTCTTTAGTCTTTTCCTCCCCCTCCTTCCAATTCCCTGTTTGGGAGCTGTGAAAGTGAAGGAAAAAAAAAATGAAGAGGTCCTCTGTTTCATCCTCCTGCACTTCCTCCTCTTGTTCTCCTTCCTCCTCTTCTTCATCTGATATCATTCCCCGCCATGCTGAAAAATCCAAACCCAAAAGGGCCAGGAAAATTCAGAATCCTGAGAAATATCAGAATGCCGATAGCCCACCTTCCTGCAAAAGAAGCTCAATGTACAGGGGAGTCACCAGGTAAATATATATATATATATATGTAGCAATTGGGGTTCTTGCGATTTGCATGTTTGATTTTGATTTTTCATTTTGATGATCAACAGGCACAGATGGACTGGGAGATTTGAGGCTCATCTCTGGGACAAGAGTTCCTGGAACAACATTCAGAACAAGAAGGGTCGACAAGGTAAATTCCCCCAATTTTAAAATTGAAAAAAATCAGGGAGATCTGTGTTAATTTACTTTAGTTACTTTACTTTTGATAAATTTTTTATGAGTTTTTTCAGTGGACTGACCATGTTTTTATTCCTGATAATCTCTGTCCCTGTTTTGTCGCTCTTTAGTTTATTTGGGTAAGTCCACATATCTCTCTCATATTAAATTCATTTTTTCTTCAAAAAAAAAAAATTTATATCATAAAATTTTATTTTATTATATTTGATCTTAATGATTAATTACAGGGGCATATGATAGTGAAGAGTCAGCTGCTCGGACCTATGATCTTGCTGCCCTCAAGTATTGGGGGCCTGAAACCACATTGAATTTTCCGGTATTTGTTTGATTAATTCCTTCATTATAGCTTAATAGGGTAAAGAATCTCGATATTCATCATGTTATGTTGATGCAGTTGGAGTCGTATACAAAGGAACTCGAGGAGATGGATAAGGTGTCCAAGGAAGAGTACTTGGCATCGTTGAGGAGACAGAGTAGCGGATTTTCTAGAGGAGTTTCAAAGTATCGTGGGGTAGCCAGGTACACAATTTTTTAGTTGCCAGCAATAGATTAGTTGTTACTTTAATCTAAGCATGAACAGTAACCATTACTGGTCCTAGAGTAATTGCCATAAATGATAACCAACTATTTTTACTCCTTTCACTAAAGAGTAACAGTATGAGAATTTGTGTGTGGTTTGATAGGCATCATCACAATGGGAGGTGGGAAGCACGAATTGGTCGAGTTTTTGGCAACAAATATCTGTATCTTGGTACTTACAGTAAGTAATTTCTAATTTGTCCTCTCAATCTTATTCTTTTGAATTGAATTTTGATGCATTTGAGTAGCTTATGATTATATTTCTTTATCCTATTTACAATACTTATGGTCAGATTTCTATTAAGATATGAGAGATATCTAATGATGACTAGATCCAAGTTTTAAAACGGCCATCCACCATAGGCAATGTGCTGCTTTGGTAACTGGAGCTAGTTAGCGTGCATAACGTGTCTTATTTTACGTGTGTATTAGATAACAACGCGTGAAATGCAATGCACGAATGATTAAGATCAAACAGTCATGACAGAGGTGATTGGATGCCAATCCAAGGAGCCATCCCTTATGAGACAATGCGCTAATATGACAATGGGAGTTGTTACTAACCATTGGTCCATAGAGCACACATAACGTGTCCTAATTGACAGTGTTATGTGAATTTTGTGCATGCACTTAATGTGCGCACACTTAATAACTAGACATGAAATTCATTAACAATTAAGATTGAATGGTACATTTTAGTCTTTTTTAGGATCAATTTATTAGCTACACTTTTAACTTTCCACCAAATTTTTAAGTAAAGCTTTTATATAATGTATCTGAATAATAGTTGATTTTTTCTTCTATATATAGTTCTTATTGAATATAAATATTAACTAAAACGACACATGGAGTCAAAAGTGTATAAAGTCAAAATGTGACAAGTAAATTGATTCAAAGGGTATATATATTATATATAACGAAGAGAATGATTCACTCAAATCTTATATATGATGATAAAATCTAGCAATTCCTAGCAGCACTAAATTTTACTGACTCATTTCACTTGGTTGAGTGCCTGAACCGGCATTCATATACTCATTTATGCGATTTTGAGATGTCATGGTCTGATAAAATAATTAGGGGTTACAATTGCCTTTTCTCCAAAAAAAAAAAAGGATGGTGGTGGGAGGGTGTGGTTTAGGAATGGCACTTTTGTAATTAAATGGATTAGGAAGGCTTAACAAGTATTTGCAATTTTTGGGCGTTAGTATGTAGCAGTTGAATCTGATCTGCCATAAGAATGGCACGTGAAACCCCAAATACAAAATCAGAAAAATATGGAAAAGGTGATCATTTTGTTAAAAGTTCTGTAAGATGTTTTGCTAGGCAAGATGCAAGGTAGTCACTTACTCACGTGCCTTGGGAGAAATGGGCATCCTCTTAGGTGATCTAAATGCTTCAATTTAACCAACCAATGTTTACCAATTATTAAATATATGAAAACTTTGTGGGCAAGATTCATTAAACCCTGAATTCATTCCTACAAGTTAGTTCATGGACTTTTATGGTTTAAACTTCAAACATTCCAAGCTCTTATTTACCCAGAACCAAAAACTTCAAGCTCTTCCTAATGATAGGTTGAGTTGAGACATCGAGAGTAGTATGCGCAACTGGTTTTGGGGAATTGGGATGAACCAAAACCAATATTCAGTAATTTGCGTATGGATTTGATTAGAGTATTAAATTAGTTAGTAAGAACTTGACAATAATCATCTTAGGTGTGAAAGCAAATCAATTTGAACCGTGCATAGCACATACTTATAGTAAGAGTTCTTAAAATTAGTGTATTGAGGTTTTTCTCTTCTCTCTCTGTCTCTCTCTCTAGGCAATTTTAAAATATAAGCTGTTATTAAATTTGGGGGGAATGGTTTCCCAAGATCTAAGAATGGCGTACCTTGACCATGTATCTATGTTCGTCCCTCTTCATTCATAATAGCATGTTATGTTACCGAGATGAAATCTAGATATTGGTCCATGCCAGTAATTTATTAAAAAACTTATAATGTTTTATTCTCGATATTGCCATACTCTTGAATCTTGATTAGAAAAATTGAAAGGTTTAACCAATTTTAAATCCTTTCTGATTAAGAACCAATGTTGGCACATGAATCCTAATCAGGTTCGTACTATTTAAAGTTGGATTCGCTGTTATCTTCTCTTTTACCGTAAAGCTGTGCTCTTATGTTTTGTTTAATATATTAAGAACTAAATTAAATTAATAAAGTCAACTACGAAATTAGTTTAGTAGTTTTTTTTTTTTTGTTGGAGGTAAAAGATTTTAAGTTTGAGTTGCATAACATCCTGGTGGAGTAGGATTATTGTGCAACCAAAATAAAAAAATTAATTAATTAATTAACTGTAATTTTTTATTATTATTATTATGTTGAAGATACACAGGAGGAAGCAGCAGCAGCATATGATATGGCAGCATTAGAGTACAGAGGGGCAAATGCTGTGACCAATTTTGACATTAGTCATTACATCGAACGCTTGAGGAAGAAAGGCATTATAATTCATCTTGACCAAACCCGGATCCAAAAACAACCTCAGAATCCCACAACTCAGTCCCAAGATGTCCATGTGGAGGTTGAAGTCGAGGTAGAACAACCACAGTCACAACAACAACAACAACAACAGCAGCCACAACAGCAAGTAGTAGCTCAAAACCAACTCCAAGATGCAGAGGAGCTCCCCCAGTGCATGGATGCTACTCCAATGATCATTATGGAGCCGCTGGATGACCAAGATCTTCAATGGAACTTCTACACGGACACGGGATTCAACCCGTACCCGGTTCCTGATGATGTTCTTCTTTGGCAGACCGGGGAACTTCCAGATTTGATTGATTGCGCTAGTTTTGAGGATGACATTGACTTCAGTCACTTCATATTTGATGAAGAAAATATTGGAAATGAGGCCAATCCACTGACAAGCAATGGAAGGGTGGAGGTTGGTGTCTTGGGGAACACCGAGGAGGATGATGGGAGAGTTGAGGCCTCAGATTCCCCATCGTCAACGACAACAACAGTGTCTGGTGGCTATTCTGTTTGATGGTTGGGAAATTTTGGGGGACTTTTGGGGTCTGTTGTGGGTGGTTGAACTTGGAAAAAATTTTAAATAACTTGGGGTTTTTTTTAATTTCTTTTAGTTCAATAGAAAAAGGATAGAAGGAAAAGGATAGTGTGCTCTTAAAAAGAAGAAGAAGAATAAGAAGAAGGAAAAAACAGAAAAGATGGTGGCTGCAGTGCTGTTCAGGGATTTTCCAAAGTTTAAGTGTTCTTTGGATATTTTGTGTTCTTTGGATATTTTCTTTTCGTTTCTTTTTCTTTCTGGTTATTATTATTATTATTTTTAACCCTTCGTCCATTCCTTTGGTATGTGCGTAGCTTACCGGATGCAAACAAAAAAAGAAATAAGCTGGAATTTTTTTCAATACGGTAAGTAAAACATTTAATTTCATCTAGAAAATATTATATTGTGATTTCAATAAATTCTTCGACCTGATGTTTTTTTTTTTAAATTAATTTTTTGATATTTAATAATTATATTATATTTTAATTAATTTGTAATTGAATCACATCAGATATTGTATTAAATTTGCTAATTCAATTTCGACAATTAAAGACAAAAATACTAAACATCAATGCTACTAAACCGGTAATTAAAACATTAATGTTCGTAAATGGATTATTGGAGTATGTACATTAAGAAATAATGAAAACACTCACTTTAGTGCTTCATCATCACAATTAATATTATTTTATATAAAATAACAACAATTAATAAAAGAAAGATGCCAATTTTAATTTGACAGATCACAAGATGTAAGGGAATGATTTCTTAATATTTATTTCTTTATTCAAAAAACTTGAATTTGAGATATTGTTTAAAAAAAATCGAATTTTCTCCACTCTAATTAACAAGTTATTGGTTTTTTAAAGGTTAAAATCTCAATTTGATCTTTTACTTTGACACAAAAAAAAAAAACTCCTTTTTAGTCCATTTACTTTAAAAAAGTCTATTTTTGGTCCTAAAGTTTGAAATTCACCATTTTTTAATTCCTCTGTTAAATTTTAATATTAGATAATGAAAATTTCAAAAGAAATGGACCAAAAAAAAGACTTTTTTTTCCCAAAGTAAAGGGACTAAATTGGGGATATTTTTAGACTCTTTTTTGTCATACTTTGAAATTTCTGTCATTTAACACGTCATGCATGTAAAACTTAACGAATTGACTAAAAAATGATTAGATTTCAAACTTTAGGAGACCAAAAAAAGGCTCTTTTAAGTAAAAGGACTAAAAATGAGTTTTTTTTTACCAAAATAAAGAAACCAAAATAGAGATTTAACCTTTTTTAAACCTCTTGTTTATGCTGAGTTCCAAAACTTAAAATGATTTTTTTAATAAAGTCAATTTGTTAGCTTTCTCCAATCAAAAGAAAGCAAATTAAATTTTAAAAAAAAATTGAAACTTTGATTGCCCATGTAGTCACCACACTAGTGACCGCCTCTAATTTTTTCAAGCGAAAACCATCCAATTAAACCAAATAGAAATACTCATCTCAAGTTTCTCTACAAATTTATTACTCTTATATAAGAAGACATAAATAACCACTTAGATCGAGGATTTTTCTTGTTAAAAGAGTTCATATATATATATATATATATATACACTCATTAGAGTGATGCCTATATGTATGAGTGAAAAATTATTTTATAGTTTAAATTATTTTAAATTACAAAACATTAACTCTTAAAGGAAAGATGTGTCCTCTAATATTTATTTTACAATTTAAACTATAAAATAATAAATTTATGTATAAATATTCTATACTTTAAAATGTCCATTTTTCATTCCTCCCTCCATACAATTAATGTCACTAATATCTTATATTACTGCTTTTAAAAATGAAAGTATATGTACTATAAAACCACCAACGGGCTAGATCAATGTTTGGGCCGTAGGTTCGCATAACAAAAATGATTTGGGCTGTTGGTGAAATATGGGTCCAGTATCGACTTTGATCTCCAATTCTCCGTCCATCTACAAGTCAATCCTTATTATTAACAAGCAACGTATGGGCTGG